CAATGGCGAGAAGAAACGCGTCGATGAAACGAAAGTTGGTCAAACTGTCAGTGGAAAAAGTGATTAGCAGAATAACACTTCTCTGAGCATTACTGCAGATGTTAGTGTTGCTGGAAACTCTTTAGATTTCATGAGGTTGCTGCGCATGTCGTTCAGTTCAGAACCTAGAGTCCGCCGATGATTCGTTTTTTTCATATTTAGAGCAGATTTTTAGAATGTTTTTACCGAATGCTGTGACTACAATACTGTAATTAGTTTCAGCTGTTGGCATCTGAAACTGGCTCATTCATAATCGATGGGATTCCATCAATTCGATTCTCTCTACCGGATCCATCTGTAAGTTACAGTTTTTTTTTTAATATATGATCAGCTTTTGATTCCAACAGAATAATTTTTTAAGTTTTTATTCTTGATTTTTTGAAAATACTTTATTTTGCAAGTTTAATGTTTGAAGCTATTTACCAAAAAATTTCCACAAAAAATTGCAACTTACAACTGCTTGAAACCGGAAAAATTTGGAAAAATAATATTTTGCAGTTTTTTAAAAATATGACAGAAACCGAAAAACAAATGAAAAGCAAAACCTCAAGAATTAAAAAATCGTAATTAGTAAAAGCGGTACTGATTTATAGGAAAAATTTTCTTCCAATAAAATTGTTTTTTCTCAGAAGTAATTCTAGCGATTTACAAACTATAAACCTACTTTTTGTTTTTTTTTTTCAAAGCTACTCTTAATTTTCGATTGATGCGTTAGGCATTTTCCTGCTGAAAAGTTGCACCATAAGTTGCGAAGTTCGTGGACAGTTTTCCAAAGAACTGTTGATATCCGGAATACTTTTAATTAGTTTAACAACTTAATTGTTGCGCCTTGAATTGTGATATTTTGTAGAATTCCATCCGCATGATCAGTTATCCACCTCTTTATCGACCCGGTATATTTGAAAGATCATTCGCCGAACATAGTGGTTATCGATTTTCGCTTAAACAGGTTTACTGAAAAATATTTTGAATAGCTATCTTTTCACCGTAGTTTTTCTTCTCTCCAACGGACAGCGTTCCAACGGGCGCGCCATTGACAACGACATCATAATAATTTTTTTTTAAAAGAAGGTTTAAGAGAAATTATGAGAAATTCGACGAAATTTTTTGAAAATTTGCTAAAATTTCGAGAAAAAAAATAAGAAAAGTTCGGGGAATATAAAAGTTAGCGTAATAAAAACATCTAGCTGGAAATCAA